GTTGCAGCGAGGAGAAGGCTGGAGGCAGTGGAGATGTCATGTCTGAGGGCAATGTGTGGTGTGAATATAATGCAGAGAATTCGTAGTTTGGAAGTTAGGAGGAGGTGCGGGATTACCAAAACTGTTGTCCAGAGGGCTGAGGAAGGGTTGTTGAGGTGGTTCGGACATGTAGAGAGAATGGAGCGAAACAGAATGACTTCAAGAGTGTATCAGTCTGTAGTGGAAGGAAGGCGGGTAGGGTCGGCCTAGGAAGGGTTGGAGGAGGGGTAAAGGAGGTTTTGTGTGCGAGGGCTTGGACTTCCAGCAGGCATGCGTGAGCGTGTTTGATAGGAGTGAATGGAGACAAATGGTTTTTAATACTTGACGTGCTGTTGGAGTGTGAGCAAAGTAACATTTATGAAGGGGTTCAGGGAAACCGGCAGGCCGGACTTGAGTCCCCGGAGATGGGAAGTACAGTGCCTGCACTCTGAAGGAGGGGTGTTAATGTTGCAGTTTAAAAACTGTAGTGTAAAGCACCCTTCTGGCAAGACAGTGATGGAGTGAATGATGGTGAAAGTTTTTCTTTTTCGGGCCACCCTGCCTTGGTGGGAATCGGCCGGTGTGATAATAAATAATAAATATATATATATATATATATATATATATATAATATATATATATATATATATATATAAATTATATATAATATATATATATATATATATAAATAATATATATATGCAGATTCACTATGCGTTCTTGAGATCTGAGCCTGATATCCTTATCATTAGTTCCGAGTTGGATATTAGGATTCCGTATTATGATGTTCGACGCGGATGAGGTGTAGTTCACTATACGTAACACAACGTCAGTTGGTAGATACACCCCCACCCTGTCTAAGGGGGTGCCCTTGATTTTGAAAGTTTAAATAGAAAAAAAAATCCTGGACAGCAGATTACATTCAGATTAAAGTAGAAGTCCACAGCTTATAAAAGCAACACGTGAATTTGCAAGAGTAAAATATGTTTCGGTCTACCCTGGACCACTGTCAAGTCACAATGGTCCAGGGTAGACCGAAACGTTGCTGTAACGTTCCTCTCTTAATTGTGAATATTTAGTGAATATGTTCAACTCAACACTAACCGGGCTGTGGTTCGTACGTCAGCTTGCGTGCGTCCAGCAGTAACAGCCTGGTTGATCAGACCCTGATCTACCATGAGGCCTGTTCTCAGACCGGGCCGCGGGGGCATTGACCCCCGAAACCCTCTCCAGGTAAACTAACGATCAGTAAAAGAAGACACAATCAAATTTATCTTGCTTCACCCTGATCATGGATGGTCCGTACTTCATGTTACGTCAAGGAAAAAACAAGACATAATTTGATATACCTCCAAATTACATTACATCAAGGGGAGAAAAATCTGGGTAGGGAGAGGGAAGGGGTCAAGGACGTTGGTCCAATATATTAATTTTGACGCGGATGCGTGTGTTGCCACAGGTCAGATCGTGCGAGCGCACACATGCACGGGATTCATGCAACAGTCAACGTCGTCTGCACCAGTCATGCATATCCACCATGCAATAGCTACCACTATCACTCGGGAAAGAGACGCACAAACTTCTCTTATGAAACAAACTGTAGATATGAAGTACCTTCACAAGCATCTATCTTCAAGGGGACCGGATTAAAGTTGATGATCTCCCATTCCAAGGCGATGTATGAACTGTAACTGCCATGGCGCTTCCCCGTAAATTTAGTAATAATCTAGAAGTATCTGGTGTTATGGATGGCACTACCTTAATGACCAACAATGGCCGTAGCAAGACCCCGTGTTGCGCCTGGCTGTGTTACAGTGCTCAGAAATCGTCACTTACAGACCTCTGGTAATGGTGAAGACGATATTAATGGCCAAACTTGGAAGTGTACAGCTCAGAGGTAGCAGTCAAGGCTGCCGGTAAGATATACTGGTAGTAACATACAGCTCTGACTCGATGACTGACAGTGTTTTTATGATATATCAGTTAATCATCCTAACTAAACACATTAACATCCTTCCAGGATTCGGCATCTTTTCAGAGTATGCTCAGGCAGTGTTCACAAGTGAACCCCCGATATTTCACCCAGATGGAGTTGATTAAGCCACTTAACTAACTAGAACTACATATAGACCATTTCATTTTGTCACTGTTGACAGAATAGTGAAATGGTGCGAACGTGAGTCAGCGTGAAGCATCACATTTGCTTCCTCCAGACATCCTCTCTCTTCTCACGTCACACTTGGTGATTCACTCACATGTATGTGAAAAAAAACTACGTATGCGATTATCAAGACATTTATTGAGGAAACGTTTCGCACCTGGTGGGTAAAACTTATCCTCAATAAATATTTTGTTAATGGCATGTGTGTCACTCTCAATCTCTACACTCATTAGGCCTTAATTATAATCATGTGGAAGTTCTAAACCAGCAATGAACACCGCATCAGGGGAATGGGAGGTAATCCAGCTTGATCTAAGAGGACGGTAGTTCTAATACCTTCAATCAGAAACCCTTTGCCAGCATGAAGGCACCCTTTTCCCTCCCTCCCCTTAAATGATTATTTACCCTTGACTTATGTCTTTTCTCGTGTTTTCACTGAACACCTTGACCTGCTTTCATAGGGCCGCAGACTAGTGTACTGTCCTGTGTCCAGCAGACCTTCAGTGTACCTTGGCGTCATAACACCGCAGACTAGTGTATTGTCCTGTGTCCAGCAGACCTTCAGTGTACCTTGGCGTCATAACACCGCAGACTAGTGTATTGTCCTGTGTCCAGCAGACCTTCAGTGTACCTTGGCGTCATAACACCGCAGACTAGTGTATTGTCCTGTGTCCAGCAGACCTTCAGTGTACCTTGGCGTCATAACACCGCAGACTAGTGTATTGTCCTGTGTCCAGCAGACCTTCAGTGTACCTTGACGTCATAACACCGCAGACTAGTTCTGGGTTCAGCGTTCTGCATATTCCCAGTGTGATTGGGTAGTTAATTCACCAAGTGATTCATTCACTGTTAGTTTTTCTCTATATTGTACAAAGTTCAGTGAAGTTGATAATATTCACTTCTCTAATAATAATAAATAATAATAATAATAATAATAATAAATAATAATAATAATAATAAATAATAATAATAATAATAATAATAATAATAATAATAAAAATAATAATAATAATAATAATAATAGCAGGAAGAAGAGGTAAAAGAAGAACCCTTTTATCATTGTTTTTTCTCTTTTAATTGCCTTCATTCGCCCTCCCTTAGCTCCTCCTTCCTTCCTTCCTTCCTTCCCACACATCTTTCTTTCCAGCTTCCTAACTTATTGTAATCATAAAAATTCGTCAAGACTGATGACCTGAACACCTCCTTCAAGGCTGAGGACTGATCACCTCAGACTACTTCATGCCCTCTGCTGCCTCAAACAGATTCATCAGTTCTGAGGGTTGTCATGCCTTCCACTGTCTCCAGTGTTATTCTGTGTATTGGACTGATAAAGCCACTAGTGAGCGAAACGTCTCCACAGTAAACATACCTGAAAACTACACATGTCTTATTCGTCTTTCATTATAAACTAGGTTACAATGGGCTAAGAGGTGACACAGTCATTTGTATCATGTGTCACCTCAGAGACAGCTACAAAAGTGTCACTGTTCAAGTCACTGCTCCCTCACTTCTAGTCATGAACACTGGTGTGCCAGAAGGCAGTGTCCTGGGTCCTCTGTCATTCCTTCCCTTCAGAGAGGTATCTTGACACCCTGGTGAAGGGCTTTTCATCCAAGGAATTGAAGGTACCTTCCCTTTACATGTATCAAGCCTAATTAATTCCTATTCCCTAGAGCTGAATGATGCAAACGGGTTTTACCTGAAGAGTGAATATAATAATAATAATGATAATAATAATAATAATAATAATAATAATAATAATAATAATAATAATAATAATAATAATAATAATAATAATAATAATCTACTCTGTATCAGAATAAATGAGTTTTCCCTAAATAATATATTATATTAGCTAGAAAATATACATGGATGACAACACACACACATACACACACACACACACACAACACACACACACACACACACACACACACACACACACACACACACACACACACACACACACGTCAGGGGAGACATGATAACGACATACAAGATACTGCGGGGAATAGACAAGGTGGACAGAGACAGGATGTTCCAGAGAGGGGACACAGAAACAAGGGGTCACAGTTGGAAGCTGAAGACTCAGACGAGTCAGAGGGATGTTAGGAAGTATTTCTTCAGTCACGGAGTCGTCAGGAAGTGGAATAGCCTAGCAAGTGAAGTAGTGGAGGCAGGAACCATACATAGTTTTAAGAAGAGGTATGACAAAGCTCAGGAAGCAGAGAGGGAGAGGACCTAGTAGCGATCAGTGAAGAGGCGGGGCCAGGAGCTGAGTCTCGACCCCTGCAACCACAATTAGGTGAGTACAATATTACGTCGGCTTCAATAACTCACAAATCACTGTGTGATTTGTAACATAAACTTCGTATTAGTTCAAATGTTAACCCTGATCGTCCACCAGGTCTAGGACCGGGATTCGGGGGGCGTTGACCCCCGAAAACATCCTTCGTATATCCCTCAAGTAATATCTCACTCCAACACAGTACGGCAGCTCATATCAAATATAAATCTCTACTAAGAGATTAAATACAAGACAACTGCCACATCTTATTATTAACATAGCAATGTAAATAACCACTCTCATATATCGTTCTATACTAGTAATGCATTTTGTCATCCGCCTGATATAACTCACCCATGCAATCCATCTTGCTATGTGGTTGAGTTCTCGTTGACATATGCACAAAATGATACTTATAATCATTGACTTTTCTGGCTATACATTTCCAAATTGAAAACTTATAATAAAATTAAGCGTAAAATACATCAGGTAGGCTTATTACATCTGTTATAACGTCAATTAGGCCTATTTTACCTGTTTTAACGGTAGACTAAACAGAAGCCAACTGGTTGGAGTAGAAATGTGAGCCACGCGACGTAGACCAGCGGACTACGAGGTCATCTCAGGTCATGATGATGCTGGGTGACCCTTAGTGTGAGCGAGGTAGTGAGGGCAGGCAAGTGAGCATCAACACCATCACCCACCATCACGTTGCTCCTACTGACTCACATAATACTATAATGACCACCCTGCACCAGCCTACCATGCACCACCATCTTGCACCCAACAAATTCCTCAACTGCGTCTCGGAAACATGATAGTCACTTCAGTAACGCTGTGAACATCGACATTAGAATTTTTCCAATCGTTGTTTATGGCTATTTTGTCTATATACAATGAAAATTATATAATGTAAATTGATCCTACGTCTGGTAACGTAGTTGTTGTGTATTGCATATACGTTGTCATGGCAACGAGACGCCACAAGGACCATACACATGATGTCCACGCTTGTCTTCTTAAATATTCTTTAATTGTTTAGTAAACCCTCTGGTGGGGGTGCCTTGATGCCGGTGAAGGGCTCTTGATCCAGGAAATTGAAGCTAAATTCTCTTTCCTAAAAACTAACCTCCCCTGCCTTAAATCAAACTTCGTTACATACCATTTTCTCAGACAAACTTACACCTCTAGAGTTTTCTCGTATTACAATATAATAATAATAATAATAATAATAATAATAATAATAATAATAATAATAATAATAATAATACATTATTATAAGTACAGTACATGTATAGTTACAATATAATGAAACGTTACAGGCGAATAGACAATGAGCACCGTTACAGGCGACAAAGAGCACCGTACAGGACAGACAAAGAGCACCGTTACAGGTGACAAAGAGCACCGTTACAGTGACAGACAAATGAGCACCGTTACAGGCGACAAAGAGCACCGTTACAGGCGACAAAGAGCACCGTTACAGGTGACAGACAAAGAGCACCGTTACAGGCGACAAAGAGCACCGTAACAGGCGACAGACAAAGAGCACCGTTACAGGCGACAAAGAGCACCGTCACAGGCGACAGACAAAGAGCACCGTTACAGGCGACAAAGAGCACCGTAACAGGCGACAGACAAAGAGCACCGTTACAGGCGACAAAGAGCACCGTCACAGGCGACAGACAAAGAGCACCGTTACAGGACAAAGACACGTTACAGGCGACAAAGAGCACCGTCACAGGCGACAGACAAAGAGCACCGTTACAGGCGACAAAGAGCACCGTAACAGGCGACAGACAAAGAGCACCGTTACAGGCGACAAAGAGCACCGTCACAGTCGACAAAGAGCACCGTCACAGGCGACAGACAAAGAGCACCGTTACAGGCGACAAAGAGCACCGTTACAGGTGACAGACAAAGAGCACCGTTACAGGCGACAAAGAGCACCGTAACAGGCGACAGACAAAGAGCACCGTTACAGGCGCAGGCACCGTAGCGACAGACAAGGCACCGTCACAGGCGACAGACAAAGAGCACCGTAACGCGACAGCGACAAAGAGCACCGTTACAGGCGACAAAGAGCACCGTCACAGGCGACAGACAAAGAGCACCGTTACAGGCGACAAAGAGCACCGTCACAGGCGACAGACAAAGAGCACCGTTACAGGCGACAAAGAGCACCGTCACAGGCGACAAAGAGCACCGTCACAGGCGACAGACAAAGAGCACCGTTACAGGCGACAAAGAGCACCGTCACAGGCGACAAAGAGCACCGTTACAGGCGACAAAGAGCACCGTCACAGGCGACAGACAAAGAGCACCGTCACAGGCGACAAAGAGCACCGTCACAGCGCAGACAAAGAGCACCGTACAGGCGACAAAGAGCACCGTCACAGGCGACAACAAAGAGCACCTCACAGGCGACAACAAAGGCACCGTCCACGGCGACAAAAGCACATCGGCGACAGAAAGAGCACCGTACAGGCGACAAAGAGCACCGTCACAGGCGACAAAGAGCACCGTCCAGGCGACAAAAGAGCACCGTCACAGGCGACAAAGAGCACCGTTACAGGCCGACAAAGAGCACCGTCTACAGGCGACAAAGAGCACCGTCACAGGCGACAGACAAAGAGCACCGTCACAGGCGACAAAGAGCACCGTCACAGGCGACAAAGAGCACCGTCACAGGCGACAAAGAGCACCATCACAGGCGACAGACAAAGAGCACCGTCACAGGCGACAAAGAGCACCGTCACAGGCGACAGACAAAGAGCACCGTCACAGGCGACAAAGAGCACCGTCACGAGCGGCAAAGAGCACCGTCACGGGCGGCAAAGAGCACCGTCACGGGCGACAAAGAGCACCGTCACAGGCGACAAAGAGCACCGTCACAGGCGACAAAGAGCACCGTCACAGGCGACAGACAAAGAGCACCGTTACAGGCGACAAAGCACCGTCACAGGCGACAGACAAAGAGCACCGTCACAGGCGACAAAAAGCGCCGTCACGGGCGACAAAGAGCACCGTCTACGGGCGACAGACGAAGAGCACCGTCACAGGCGACAAAGAGCACCGTCACAGGCGACGACAAGAGCACCGTCACAGGGCGACAGACAAGAGCACCGTCCGGCCAGAGCGACGCAAGACAAAGAGCACCGTCACGGCGACAGAGCACCGTCAGGGGCGACAAAGAGCACCGTCACAGGCGACAAAGAGCACCGTCACAGGCGACAAAGAGCACCGTCACAGGCGACAAAGAGCACCGTCACAGGCGACAAAGAGCACCGTCACAGGCGACAGACAAAGAGCACCGTCACAGGCGACAAAAGAGCACCGTCACAGGCGACAGACAAAGAGCACCGTCACAGGCGACAAAGAGCACCGTCACAGGCGACAGACAAAGAGCACCGTCACAGGCGACAAAGAGCACCGTTACAGGCGACAAAGAGCACCGTCACAGGCGACAAAGAGCACCGTCACAGGCGACAGACAAAGAGCACCGTCACAGGCGACAAAGAGCACCGTCACAGGCGACAGACAAAGAGCACCGTTACAGGCGACAAAGAGCACCGTCACAGGCGACAAAGAGCACCGTCACAGGCGAACAAGAGCACAGTTAGGCACAAGGCACCGTTACAGGCGACAAAGAGCACCGTCACAGGCGACAAAGAGCACCGTTACAGGCGACAAAGAGCACCGTCACAGGCGACAGAAAAGAGCACCGTCACAGGCGACAAAGAGCACCGTCACAGGACGACAAAGAGCACCGTCACAGGCGACACGACAAAGAGCACCGTCACAGGGGACAAAGAGCACCGTCACAGGGCGGACAAAGAGCACCGTTACAGGCGACAAAGAGCACCGTCACAGGCGACAGACAAAGAGCACCGTCACAGGCGACAAAGAGCACCGTCACAGGCGACAGACAAAGAGCACCGTCACAGGCGACAAAGAGCACCGTCACAGGCGACAGACAAAGAGCACCGTCACAGGCGACAGACAAAGAGCACCGTCACAGGCGACAAAGAGCACCATCACAGGCGACAAGAGCACCGTCACAGGCGAAAAGACAAAGAGCAACAGCAACAGGACGACAGACAAAGAGCACCGTCACAGGCGACAGACAAAGAGCACCGTACAGGCGACAGACAAAGAGCACCGTCACAGGCGACAGACAAAGAGTCAGGCACAGCTCACAGGCGACAGACAAAGAGCACCGTCACAGGCGACAAAGAGCACCGTCACAGGCGACAAAGAGCACCGTCACAGGCGACAAAGAGCACCGTCACAGGCGACAGACAAAGAGCATCGTCACAGGCGACAAAGAGCACCGTCACAGGCGACAAGACACGTCACAGACGACAAACACCGTCACAGGCGACAAAGAGCACCGTCACAGGCGACAAAGAGCACGTACAGGCGACAAAAGAGCACCGTCACAGGCGACGACAAAGAGCACCGTCACAGGCGACAAAGAGCACCATCACAGGCGACAGACAAAGAGCACAGTCACAGGCGACAAAGAGCACCGTCACAGGCGACAAAGAGCACCGTCACAGGCGACAGACAAAGAGCACCGTCACGGGCGACAAAGAGCACCGCCACAGGCGACAAAGTACATCGTCAGGAGTATCGTTACAGTTTACCAGCAAACGTTATTCCCAGCTCGTCGCATGTTCTGAGTTTTTTTTTTCTTCATTGTATCGCTTTAATATTCGACTAGTCCTGCGTGAGTATTATTTAAGAGCATATCAAGTAGGTGCACAATGTCTACATATCCGTCACATATCGATGGCTAGAATATTATACTTTCAACAACCATGCAACCTTCCTGGCACGTCACTTTACCACGTCTTCAAAAATACAAAAAAAAACAACAGGATGGACCGTCCTTTCATTTCTGGCTGCTCATTTAAATGCCTAGTGCGAGTTTTTGCCCATTTAGAGCTCGAGTCAGAAATTTTATGTCTTCGACACAATACAGCACAGTCTCCTGTCTTAATCTTCAACACCTTTCTGTCATATCTCCTGTGGAAAATTGCATTTATCTGTATGTAACTCATAAAGTACATACCAGTAAATAACAAAGATAATTATTATTTATCAGAGTTACATAGACAAGTAGGAATTTGGGACACCTAGGTCACAAAAAATGTCCCCCTTCGATACCTACCACTGTCATATCCACAAGTTGCTCTAGACCTATTAATTACAAATGAAATATACATCACCAGGAATTCTGGTAAATATATAAATTTGTGGACTGTATATTAAAATTAATAATTGATTATATATATATATATATATATATATATATATATATATATATATATATATATATATATATATATATATATATATATATAATATATATATAACATATAGAGAGAATATATCTTAATATCACTCAGCAATTTGACTGGAGATCAAGGTGTATCATACTCAGAAAACCTCACTGTCTATACATGAAAATAACATTGGCCAGAGTTACAAACATAAACAAACTTATCTGAGGTTCCTGGAGCTGTCTTGTCCAGTCGCCTGATATCTCACGTTATACAGGAATGCACATCCAACAATTTCGGCTCCTATTTGAAAGGTGTCAGCCAAATTTTAATCTCTAGAGCACGAAAAATTCTTCTCGTTATTCACTAACGTTTGTGTTGTCCAGTTCAAACATGGCGAGTCTCGTCTGCGCAGGCGCAGCTTCCCATTTTTTATAACATAATTTTTATTAAATACAATATAGATCATCAATTTACCTATAAATTACCATATTTCCGGAAAATATACAGTATTTTCCACATCTCCCATAAAACAATCTTCTTCCATACTGGAGATCTTTAACAATAGACGGATGTCTGATACATTTCTTGCAACATGAGACATTGCTACCTAAGGGCCTAATGATGAATGTTATTAAGTGCAGACTAGTGTATTTCACTCGGAAACGCCACAGTAGATTTCCCAAACTTACTGTTGATTCTACATACCTCCAAGTAGTAGTATTTCTCACAAATAACTTAGAATG